TTTGCAGTGCGACAATTGACTGTGTGTAATTTATGTTAAAGAACAAATACTCAAAGAACTATATTCTAAAATGTTCTCAGATGAAACTAGGTTCAGAAATGCTAATTCTCCCAGTTTTTGGGCAACAACCTGATCAGCTCGATTTTATGCCTTTATACCACATAATAACATCTGAGATTTAACAGAATCCTCTGAAACCAGGTTGAAATACAGGTAAACATTGTTAGAGCACCATTTCATTTGCATGCTGCTCTATCTGAACAACAGTCTAAACCACGTTCTGGACGTGTGTCAGCAGTATGGCGCATTACAAATGACAGGCGGTCATTAGCGACCCGCAGCACACGAAACGACTGAACTGTTTACAAAAACCTCCATAAGCTGATGCCATATCACAGCCTGACAGATATAAACCCATCTGAGAGCCTCTCTCTCCCTCTCTGAGTATCTGTCTCTCTCTCTCTCTCACTTCCTCTCCTCCCCCGTGAGGCAGGAATCTGCCAGGAGGTTTCATAACAGGCAGCTCAGTTGGATTAATTCTGGTCCGGGTGCCAATCTCACTGCAGGAATCAGAGCTGACAGCAAACAGCCTGGACACCAGCGATAGCACACACAAAACATTTCCATACAAAGACAGCAAAAAGCGTGCTAAATTAACTTACATTTAAATATTTTATTGCAATGAAAAAAATTATTTCATGGGATTTTTTTGTTTATATTATATTACATTAATTAAAAAGAAGCGTATTTCTACGACCATTAAGATTTGTTTTTACACATTTCCCCTAAAATTCTCAATACCCAAATGCAAAATAATAATACAAAAATATTACATTAATTTTAAAAATTATACAAATATAATTTTAATAGTTTTTTATATTTTGTAAAAAAAAAAGTTATATTATAATTAATTTTCTATGTAATCATATTATACATTTTATATATATAGATACACACACACATATATATATAATACTGCTTTTAATTTATAGTGAAATTTATGGTGAACTTATGAAAAAAAATTGTGTAATACAATATGTTTTATAAATCTTTGAAAAATTATGGAAATTATTCTCAGAAAAAAACTGTGAAACATCCAAACACCTTACATGAATGCCTATCTGGGTGGGAAAAAAATGTGTTTGATTGTTATGAAGATAATGCCACAATTAATGCAAACACCTAATTTTCTTAAATACAAGCATAATTTCCTTAATGCAAAATATAATTTTCTTATTTCAGCTATAAGCATCTTATTATCAACTATGTTGCAATTCCTAAATATGATCAATAGCTTTACTCACTTGCCAAAATCGCATTTTACTCACATTTAATGTTTGCAAAATGCTTAATTTTGACCCTGAATATGAATATTGAAGGTTCAGTAAAACAAAGCACCAATGACACTAATAAGAACAAGAAAAGCAGACAACCTCAAGACATAAAGTCACTCAAGAAACTGCAAACATAGCATTTCAAGCCACTATTGATATCTACAGTATTTTAAACAAAACCACAAGAATGCACCAAACAGGGCAGCATTATATTATAAAGCACAGACTTTGAGAATCTTGAAATCTAGAGTTGCACCGTCCTGAACTCAGATGACATTGAATGCTGTATTTTTAGTTCAGAATGGCTCCTTCACAGCCAGATCAGTATTTAGATACTTAGAGCAGAAACAGCATCCCATCTGCCCAGCTTAACCACATTCCAATCTGTTTAGCGTGTGAACAAGTCATCCAAACCTCTGCCATGCGTGCAGGTAGAAAATAAAGGTGCTTTGAAAAGATCTCACTGATCAAGAGCCATTTTATACTGTATTTACAGTTCTTGAGTTGCTATATGATTCTTTGGATATTCAAAAAAAGTCCTACTGTCAAATAATTGCTTGTTCAAATGAATGTTTTCCTTTCCTTTCATTCGTTTATTTGTTATATTTTTTGTATTTGTTGTTTTATTTTTTTTTATATTTTTAATTATTATTTTGCATTTTGTATTTAGTATTCAAATATATTTTAATTATTTTATATATATATATTTATGCATATATGTATGTACATATGTATGTTTTGGTATTTTGCTTTACCTTTTAATAAATAAATAAATAAATAATAGGGTTTTAAGATATACATTATCCAACATTTTGAAATGTAACGACATATACAATGAGAAACAATTTAAACAAACATGCTTTCTAAAGAATAATGTGCACCAATAAATCGTTCACATTAAGCCATTAAGGGTCAGTTTTGATTTCATGTTGACTTTAATATTTCAACTATTTTAATATCTAAAGCCGTTAACGTCGAGTCAAGGTTGGCATTCCCTTTAAACTTAAGGCATGATATCAGATGGAAAAGCACGTAAAGTTAATTGAACATGGCAGTGTGCAAGAAACTGCATGATTCTCCATTTCATCCACATCTGTTGTGTGTGGGGCGAAGGGAGGCACGGGAAAATGAAGGGTATGGTGTGATGAACGCTGAAAAAGTGGAGCTAGACGTTTTCTGGGGCAAACCTCCAGAGAGACGCGCTATAGCTCACAAAGCGCTAACACTCATTTCAAGGTTTCTCTCCTTCACACTCATTACATCTGCCCTTGTGTGTGTTTACCTTTCCAAAATACATGATAAATATTCATACAAAAATAAAACAAATATGCATTTAGACCATAAAGGCTGACTGATCTGCTTTTAAAGGAACAGTTCACCCAAAAATGTCTGCTCAAAAAAGTAGCGTGACTTTTCTGTTCCACAGAAAGGAAAGAAAGCCATACAGGTTTCAAACGACATGAGGGAGAATAAACAATGACAGAATTTAAATTTTCAGATGAACTGTTCCTTTAAGAAGATTTGTTGTTCCCCCCAGGGGATGTTTTACAATGCAGCAGGTCTCAGAGAATCAGAGGGGATTCTGGGATACCAGTGCAATGATTCACTGTTGTGATCCTCTGCTGTTTGAACTGCAACAACAAGAGTACAGCGTACACACATACATATTTGTAAAGCGGCTCTAAAATCGGACTAAATCTGAAAAAGACTATGCAAAATAGGCCATATAGACAAATAGGCAAAAATAAATGCTCACCAATTCTGCATTTATTTGATCAAAAATACAGTAAAATTAAGAAATATTATTACAATTTAAAATAGATTTTCTCTGTGTGACTATATTTTAAAACGTAATTTATTCCAGTGATGCAAAGCTGAATTGTCAGCATCATTACTCTAGTCTTCAATGTCACATGATCCTTCAGAAATCATTCTAATATGCTGACATGTGCATCACATCCACATTTACTCTCCAGAGTAAATCTCTTACTCTCTTAGTCTTTCCAGATTAGTTTCAGATTAACCTGACCAACTCCAGAGTAACTCCTCAGCATCCGATTACAGAAGCAGATCAGCCGCTACGGCCTCTCATGCATTAATGCACAGGACAGCAGGCTTCAAAGTTAATGTATTCATCCATACTTTAAAGCAATTCACAGTACGCTAACAGTGGGTGGAAGTCCAACCCTCGGGCCGCCTGGGTTTAACTGCCTTATTCAACAAAGGTGATACAGCAAGATTTACATCACAGCATTTCTACAGTCTGTGAATCATTTCCAGGTTTGTTTAAACTGCCTTCAAGTAATATTCAGGGTTATTTACAACGTACGCCTAATAATGCAGTCGGTTACCACAGAAAATTATTTATCATTTGATGAAAACAAGCAGTACATGTCTGCAATACAAATAGCCAATCAAGTGCAGTAACACTTTACAATACGGTTCCATTTGTTAACATTCACTACATTAGTTCATGTGAACTAAACATTAAATCACTTCTAAAATGTTTATTAATCTTAATGTTAATTCCAACATTTACAAATACATTATTAAAATCAAAAGTTATTTAATGTTATTTAAAGGACCAAACATGAACTAACTAATGTTAAAAAACATATTAATAAATACTGTAACAAAAGTGGGGTTGATTCAGGATAACGGGGCGATATTATCCAATCATCTCAATTGCAAAAAGTGTCCCAAAAGCAACCTTATTGCTCATTGCTTAATGCATTAACAAACATTAATGGGATCTTATTATAAAGATGACCAAAATATCTATCACACTAATTCAAACGTGCAAACACATCACATTTTAGGATAGATTTATGCATGATATTCGAAAAAATTAGCATTAACAAAAACACAAGCTTCACATTTTTTGATTTAAAAACAAATCTGAGTTGCATTTCATTGCAAGTGCATTATTGTAAATGCATTTCCTGCTTGTTTTTACAAACTAAAGAAATTATTGTATGTAGTAATCAGCTAAAAGGCTGTCCACACAAGCTTAGCTTTAAAGGAGACATATTATGCCCCTTTTTACAATATGTAATATAAATCTCTGGTGTCCCCAGACTGTGTCTGTAAAGTTTCAGCTCAAAATACCCCACAGATCATTTATTATATCATTTTGAGTGGATGCAGAAACATGCTGTTTTTCGTGCCTTTCTCTTTAAATGCAAATGAGCTGCTGCTCCCCGCCCCCTTTTCCAGAATAGAGCTGCGCCATTACAGCTGGCAAGATTAAGGGGCGGTAATATTATAATGAAATCCCTTTGCCACGTCACCAAGGGAGCAAAATCAGACACGCTCGTTTTTTCAGACGCTTGCAGAAAAGGGCTTACCAAAACAAAGTTACTGGGTTAACCTATTTCACGTTTCCTTGGTTGGTAGATGCACCGGGGACCTGATTATAGCACTTAAAACCTGGAAATTCAGATTTTCATCCCAGAATATTCTTTTAACTGTTAAGACTACAACCACATCTCTCTGTACTTAACAATGAACAGTACACGTGAATAAAAAGATGCACAATCGCCACACTACCTCATGAATATGCTTTTAAAGATCTCCTCTTATAAAATCCTGCCCTCTGTGATCCAGTTCAATAAAAGTGTGCACTATGCACAGGTATCGAATATGTAATACTGAAGTGTGTTGTACCTCTTTGGCTCTCTCGAGCTCGTTCTGCATGGCCTGTTTGGAGATCTCCACCTCGATGAGGTTTTGCCTGAGCTGCTCGTTTTCATCCTCCGCCCGTGTGCGCTTGTCTTCCACCGTCTCCAGTTCATTGTGCAGACGCACAGATACATCTTTGGCCACCTGTGGACAGAAGGATGTGTTTTAATTACCTTGTTTTCATTAGTTAGAGAATTTAACCAATGTTACCTTATGATCTTAATATCAAAACACATATTTAACCCCACACATTGTCTATAAAAAAGCACCTTGAGGTCCTGCTCCAGACCGCGCAGAAGCTCTCCATCAACGTGTCCGGTCTGAGCTACACGCAGGCTCTTCTGTTCAGCCTTGCGCAGGCGGTACTGAAGGATCCGGCAGTTCTTGTTAGAGCGGTCCAGTTCCCTGCGCAGTTCCTGGAGCTGGTACACCTCCTCCTCCAGGTAACTGTCCCTGATCTCCTCCATCTCTGCTCGCAACTCGTCCACTTCATCCTAAAGCAACCGAATCAGGATTAGAATCAGAAAGAGAATCCTGACAGAAAACGAAAGAGAACGAGAATCGGAATTGGAACCAGAACTAGAATTAAAATCAGAATTAGAATGAAGAATCAGGGTTAGAAACAGAAACAGAATCAGAATTGAAACCAGAACTAGAATAAAAATCTGAATCTGGATTAGAATGAGAATCAAGACTAAAATCAGGATAAAATTCAGAATAATACTCATTCAGGAGTCTGATTAAATTGGATCTGATTATGAAATGAACTTACTTTCTGCAGGATTAAAATCATATTAAAAATCAGAATGAAAGTCAGAATGAATAGCACAATCAGAATAAGAGTCAGAATCCAAATGAAAATCAGAATGAAGAATGAAAAGAAGCCATATTTAGAATTAAAATCAAAATTAAAAACAGAATGAGAATAAGAATTAGGATTAGAACCAGAAGGAAAACGAGAATCAGAAACCAGATTAGAAACGGAAAGAAAATAAGAATCAGAACTGGAACCCGAACTAGAATGAAAATCAGAATTTGGATTAGAATGAGTATCAAGATTAAAATCAGAATAAAATTCAGAATCATACTCATTCAGGGGTCCAGTTAAAATGGATCTGATTATGAAATAAGCGTACTTTTAGTAGGATTAAAATCATAATTAGAATTAGAATGAACAGCAGAATCAGAATGAGAGTCAGAATCAAATTAAGAATGGAAACCATGAGAATCGTAATTAGAATGAGAATTAATATTAGAAACAGAATGAGAATAAGAATTAGGATTAGAATCAGAATAAAAATCTGAATGAGAATCTGGATTAGAATCAGAAAGAGAATCGGAAACAGAACTAGGATAAAAATGAGAATGAACATAAGAACTAGAATCAGGATTAGAAAAAGAAGGAGAATCCGAATCAGAATTGGACTAGAACTAGAATGAAGATCAGAATCAGAATGAAAACAACAGAATGAGAATCAGCATTAGAAACAGAAGGAGAATAATCATTTAGAACTACAATGAAAATCAGAATTTGAATCAGAATCAGGATTAGAATCATGTTAAAACTCCGAATCACATTAAATACATTTGTGCTCAGAAACCTGTAAATTTACTTAAAATCAAAATGAAATTTTGTAACATTTACTTGTAAAATCTAAAATCAGAATTAAAAACTAAAAGCCAGAATGAGAATGACAATTCTAGAAAAGTCTAGAATAAGAATCAGGATTGGAACTAGAATGAGAATCAGAATTACAGTAGGACTGAAATTAGAAATAGAATACAAATACTCATTCAGGATTCTATTTAAATTTATCTAATTTTGCGATGTACATGAACTGAAATCATGGTCTTAAAATTGACAAAACAACCTCCCTAAAGAAAAAGACACTTCAAAAAATGACAAAAACAAATAAGACTGCAGGTAAAGAAACTGTAGTCATCAGTGAAACCCCGTCCTGAACTGTAATGAACGACTGTCATTTGTGACGCCTCATTTCTCAGTAAATACTGCACAATGCCTCAGCGCATTCAGTGCAAACAAGGTCGAGGAAGAACGACAGAAAGGCAAGGAAAGACAGACAAACAAAGACAGCGAGAGAGAGACAGACAGTGACAAACAGCCCAAACACAATGACCTTCACTGTATGATGTTGGGGACAAAGTCATGTGACAGCAGCCGTAAGGATGTTCCTGTCAAACATGAGTTATGGTGGACTACATGATTAATGTCATACTATAGCACTATAACATGGATCTATTGCTGTTTATTTGTTTAAATATGGATGCATACATGCTGCAGTATTACTTACAGAGAGATAGACAGATAGAGAGACAGAAATAAGAGCGATAAGCACACAGACGCTGCGCACATCTGCTTTAGGGAGGCTCCAAACACATGGTCCGGCCCCGGCTCCTGCGAGGGACGCGGCCATTACACACACACAGCTACTAAAGCGGATTAACACCACGTCTTCAGAGATAAACTTGTGAAAATCCTGTTTGCGACAGTAGCCGAGCCCCGCACATCTGACAAATAAGATAAATAATTTATGGAATTATGCTAATTAGGTCTGCCTTCATCTACCCATCACACTGAGGGCGAAGACTGTGATGTGTTTCCTGCGGGAGTTTGAGGGTCTTTCTGATGCATGTTGGTTTCATCTGTTCTCTGTGGACTGATGTGACCTAAAATCAGTTAAAGTGCAGATTTATGGATCTAGATCTTGCTGTCCTCAAAGTACCATGAGATTTTTTTAAAGTATCTTGGAGTACCTTAATGGCACAGTCAGTTAATACCATCACAGTTCTACTTGTAAAAGATGTTGTATCATATTTATAAGGCCCTTCAAGGGCCAAAAAAATGTGCCATGTCACTTTTATGTATTTATTTACTCTGGCAAACATGTCTGTCAGAGGACTAAGCAGATGCTTTAATGAACAAATGCTGCAGTATTGTGGACGGTGCAAATGAATAGGATGAATTTAATACATGGGCGAGAACATAAAGAGGGTCACCATGTGCAAAAACAAATAACAGTCTTTAACTCTCAAACGGATTTATAGCAGCAGCTTAACCCTTAATTCTTCAGACAAACACCAGACATTAATTACAAATACAAATAACAACTTAAAAAAAACGAAAAAAAGAGTAAAATCTACATTTTATATTACATTATTTATATTTTATATTATATTCAGAATAAAAAATAGAATTTTATAAATAAATATAAAACATTTTTTTATTTTATATAGAGGAAAATACTTTAAATATCAGATTACATACATGCTTATCATTTTTTTTTATAAAACAATTAAAATATAAATATTGATATAAATGTATAATTTACTGATTTTGTATATTATCTTTGTATTTTATTATATGTTATGTACACACACACACACACACACACACAATAAACAACTAATTAAAAAAAATACACATTTTTAAAAATAGTTCATAGTATAGTATAAATCAAAGCTCCCCACTGCACCATGGTACTACCACAGTACTTTTTAAAAGTTTAAAGCATCACCTTAATTGCGGCTTCATCCTGATAATACTGAACATTCAAGAACAATTTTCCACCGTAGCCTACTCCACGTTACTCTTAGGAATTCCGTGGTAGTGTACACTTCTGTGCGTCGGCTCACCTTGAGGTAGTCATTTTCCGATCGAAGGTCTTCGATTTCCCTCAGCAGCTCCTCCTGGGCCATTTCCTTGCCCTCCGGTTTGAATTGTGCGTCCTTCTCGGCTTTGCATTTGTCCGCGTGCGCACCGGGCACAGGTGCAGCTCCCGCCCCTGAGATCCGAACCCGAACCCCGGCCGCCTGCTCGCTCGAACCGGATCCGCTGCCCGACTCCGCGTCGCTACTGGCGGCCTGAATGAGTCTCTGCTCGTCGGACAGCGGCTCGGAGGGACAGTCGGACAAATCCGAGCTGCTGTCCGTCTGACAGACGCCGCGTCCGGTGGGGACGCGTACCGGGGCCAGCCGTGCCTTGTTTTTGGCGATCTGCGGAGCGCCGGTATCCACCGCTTTGCAGGCCGGTTTCGGTTCGGATGCTGCATGCTGAGTGACTTTAACGGCCTTTTTTGTCGCTGAGGGCTTGATGTTGCTTTTTGCAGGTGCTGATGCGGGTTTGTCCTTCGCGCTCGGGACGGTGCGTCTCGGAACGCGGCTCTGAGGCGTCACCGGCGCGGCGGACGCGTGCTGCTTGTTGAATTTGGGGGATTTTGGCACGATCGGTTTGGCCGTTCGCGAGTGGACATCCTTCAGGACGGGTCTGGCAGGGGACGGCACGCGGGTTAACCTCTTCTTCTCCTTGGCAATAAAGCTCTTTCTGATTCTGATTCTGAAAATAAAATATAAATAAAAACAATAAAACTAAAAAGGCCAAAGGTTTGAGAAAATGCCTTCACGCACACAACAAATGTAAATATTATTGGGGCGTTTTGCTGTAAATAAATTAGAGAAATAATAATAAAAATGAAAAACAAAACAACATTTTTTTTATAGCTTAGTAAAATCTGATTCCAGCTTCATAAGAAATTCAACTACCAACCAAAGTAAATTAAACATTTGCCAATTAGAAAAAGAAAGTAAAAAGCACTTGGTGAAAAGGATCGGGGGATCGTTAAGAGTATCTTATAAGGTTACAATATGGCACACGCCTGCAAACATCAACTTTTTGAGGTTAGTACCCTTTCCCTAACACTGTTAACACATCAACGGCAGGTTTAGGTCGGTTATAAGCTTTCAAAGGACACACAGTTCAAAGAAGTTCAATCTGAAAATAAAACAGAGTTAAACTGAGTTATTAGAATAATAAAAAACAAAAAAGCTGCAGCAAGAAAAAAAAACAAAAGCTGTTTTCACCTCAGCAACAGTCAAACATTAGTCCCTCAAAAAACAGACACAAGATTGGTTATTTAATACTACACTGGTTTCGGACGAGAATATTAATGCATTACAAACAACATAAACACACCGCCACTACACACGTAAATCATCTTTCTATTAGTTGACATAAGTCTATTGTTTGGATTATGACTTTATTTTCATGACAACTGAGCATATTTCCACCCATATCACTGTAATGAGAGAAAATGATGCATTAGATTTATTTATAAAAAGAGGAAAAGAAAAAAAAATTGGTAATATTTGTTGTTGTACTGCCATTAATTAAGTTTTTTTTTCACATTACACCAATTGTCATAGAAATAATGGGAAACAAACCCAATTTCTTTAAGCAATATTTTTCTTATGATTTTGTGGTCAAAAATGACCTCAACATGTTTTCAGGAAATTCTTTCAAAATTTTTTTTTTTTTGTAGATGTCGTTCCAGACGCACAGTAACCCTGTCAGTCCTCTATATTTAAGGACAGTTTTTATAAAAAAATGCATCATATTCCCATAAACTCACACAAAACCTGTTGCTACTGCATATCTGATTCAGCTGAAACAGCCGTTCCCATCAAACACCTGTTATATTTTACTATATAACACAACTATATCATTCCTACAGTCCTTCATCTACTGCAGGCAAACGGTTCAATTCACTGTAAATCCAGTGGAGTCAGTGGTTTGTCCAGGAACGCAGAAGCATAGTGATGTTAACTGAACACTGAGTGTTGTTAGGAACAAGTGTACTTATTCTTCCGTCCGAGTATCAAAATCAATGTCCCGTTTTACTCTCTCCACGTAGAAATAGCCCTTTCGCCGACAGCATTTCAGTTCTGCAATCCAGATCCAGCGAATAAAACAATGAACTCAGTCTGTGCGACACCCAATTATTGACCTTCCTTTATTATACTCGAGTTAAATGACACCGAAAAAGGACTAGGAAGCAACAAAACTCTGCTGCTAAATGATAAGGTTCATCTTCTCTACACAGGTCCTTCACTAACGTCCAGCATTTCAGCTGTTCATAAACTAGCTACAAATGGATTGTAGTGCAAAACACAACAGATAACACAAAATCCACCTCAAAAACAGCAACACTGATAGAACGTAAGGCATAAAGACAACCCAACCACGCTGGCCATTAATAATAAGCCGAACGAACCACCTCATAAACACAGCCGACAGAAATGAATCACGATTGGCATGAAATGTATATCCACTTTGCTTTTAATGCCAAAACAATTTGGAAAGAAGCTTCCTAATTTGAGACCGGGAACGTTTTCCGTAAGAAATCAGCCGTGAAAAGTGAAGAGAAGAGAAAGACAAGGGTAGATTATCCGTCGTCCGATAGAAATGGAAGATTCTTGCTTCTACCGAGAATATATGACGATGTAAACTATAGGAATTGATGGGTTATGACATACGTTTGTACTCATTTCATGCATGTGATGCGTGTACATGTCGGACAAACGCAATCCTGTGCTTCCCAGAAACGAGGTAGTGCATGTATGGGCCGTCAAAAATAAATGCATCTATGCGTGGGAGTGATGACACGGATGTTCTTTATTGGCATCTAGAGGTACCAAAATATGGAGTATGTTAAATTGCACAGTCTATGGTTTGTGAGGGATGATTATATTGACGATTATATATATCTTTCATCTTCTCTGGTAATGACAGGCCATCATCTCATCATCGGTATGGGCTGGTCACCCCTGGTGGCGGGAGTCTGTAACAGCATGTGTTGGGTTATAGAACCGAGTCTCAACAGCAGCGCATGCGAGGTGGAGGCAGCTCTGGTGGGATTTCGGGTTCGGGCTGAAGGGACAGGACACTGTTGGACAGCTCCTTACTGGGGACTTCAAGAGGCATCTGGGGAAAGACAACATTTACAGAATCTTTAAAAAATGACTGATGTGCATTGAACACAAAAATGGTCAATTCTTGCTCAAAAGAGATTTAGGAGAATTAGGGCTGCACGATTAATCAACATAAATCTGAAATGCATGCTGCAAGTTTGGATTGCATTTGGGAACGCAACAAGCGCCAGCCATCTTCCCAAACTTGCTTATAAACTAGATGTTGTCAACAATAGAGACGCTTTAGGCTCCCTACGGTTTTCTGTCAAAATAAAGCTCAACATTTGAAAATTAAGAAATATATTGCAATATTACAGTTGTAATGTGATGTAGTCAAATGTTTTTTTCTACTTCGTTCCTCATCCCATAACAAACTGAACCAATAATGAATTAAGGAAATACACACATAATAAAAAAATAGAATATAATAAATACAATAAACTATCAAGAAATATGATGTGAATGAAAATAGAATATAGTAGGGAGATATGAATAAAGCAGATTTTTATATAAACAAATATACAACTATACTATATATACTTTGTTTTACTGTCAAATGAAATTGTTATTACTGTATCATTTTTCTTAAATAAAGACTTTTTTACAGTAAAATATTATAATATTTAGTTTAATATTATTTAGAAATGACTATTTATTTCTATTAATATCATTATTATTATTTCATAGTCATACTGTTATATAACCACAAAATTAACTTAAAATCACATTTTAAAATCATGAAATCAATTTAAAATCAAAATCATATTTTTTACCCCCAAATAATGCAGGCCTAATGGGAATCATAATAAACTGAAACTTCTAAGAAAGAAATGATAAATAATTACTGCACTGGCAAAGTTGATGTTGTCAAATCTTCAAAAGAGGTTTAATGCACTTATGTAAACAATCTCACCTGCTTTGGTCTCCAAAATGTCATAAACAAAAAAAACTGTAGTTGGTCACTTTACATGTTGATCAGATGGGTCCTTCCTGTCTAAGTGGCCAATTACTGGCCATTATACACTAGAATTTGGGTCAGACTTTTGTTAAATTTTGTCTCTGCATGTCTACTGAAATCCTGAAAACTCCTTCTATCTCATGATGATATAATTTGAGCCAGAAACACTCATGATAATGCCACATTCTCAGACACTGAGAAACTCACTATTTTGAATCAAATGTTTCAAAATGAACATTTTGATGAACAAAGAATTTGTTGAAACTGTAACAAAACAGCTCCACTTACCTTACTCAAAATGTCATCAACTAGTTTAAGGAATATCTCATCCACATTGAAGTTATCCTTGGCACTGGCCTCACAGAAACGCATCCCTGATATCCGTGAAGCAAACTGCCAGACATGAAGACATTTATTTCAGTGCTATAGTGCTTCTGAATGGGTTAAATATTCAAATAATTCAATATTTAGTCAATTTCTAATGCAATCAGCTGACTTAAATTCTTTATTCTCCTTCATGGTAACACACCAAACTATTGCAGAGCTTCAGAAGATGTATGGACTGCTTTTATGATACTCAGATCAAGTAAATAACAATGTCTGGGTGAACCATTCCTGTAAAGCGTGCTTTCACTAGTCCTGTTAGCTTTAGTCTCAGTGGGTTTGGGAAGGTTGGAGGAGGCATTATTCAAAGCATTCAAGGAATCTCTTTGTGGAGGTCTCAGGCAGAATAATGTCCCTGTGTCCAGGGCTTTGGACGGACTGAAAGACTCGTAACACAGCATTGTCCTCCACTGAAATAAATGTCAAGGTAAACCTGAGACAGCTTTATACAGCTGAACTTGAAGTTAAATCAGGCTATAATAAAGTTCTAATAGCAAATAATAAAAAGGCATAATAACATCACTCATATTAATATATTTAATCATATTTGCTGAACAAATTCTGAGGAGCTGGATCCAAAAATAGTGCCTGTTTTGCTCATGTAAAATTCTCTGACACTCAATGTATTTGAACATATTTTTCCACTCCTTTACAGATTGTAAGTTAAGTTATACATTTTGAATACCTCTTTTTGTCATTAAAACCATTAAAATAAAAACGTCTGCTATTTGATTGCTTTAGTTATTTTGATAAGTGCATTATATACAGTATATAATTTCAAAATATTGGAAATGTTACCTTAGCAATTAACTGAAATAAATAATTTGAAGTACCAAAATGACAAAAGCACCTAACAAAACTACTCAAATTTAAACTAAAATTAAAATAAAAACTGGAATAATCATTTAACATATTAATAAATACTATTTAAATAATACTAAAATAACACTGATCTCACCCCCTCCCAGCTTGTTGTCGTGAAAAAACTTTACATGACAGAAAGTTTTTATTACTTTTTATAACTTGTCATCTTCACATTAAAGGGTTAGTTCCCCCAAAAATGAAAATTAGCCCACAAATTACTCACCCTCAAGTCATCCTAGGTGTATATGACTTTCTTTTTTTAGACGAATCCAGTCGGAGTTATATTAAAAATTGTCTTTGATCTTTCAAGCTGTTTAATGGCACTCAGCGGGTGTTGCATACTTCAGTCCAAAAGAAGTTAAATAAAAAGCGCCCATCCATTAAAAAAAAGTGTCTCACACAGCTCCGTGGGGTGAACAAAGGCCTCCTGTAGAGAATCGATGCGTTTTTGTAAGAAAAATATCCATATTCAAAACGTAATAATCACTTTCATGTAGCTTGCGCCAACAGTTGTACACTGGAAGCAGCTCCGGGCAGATGACGTATGAGTTCAGCGCTGCGCATGCGCCACTCAGAAGTGACGCGGGGAGAGATCAAAACAAAACACAATGCATGCAACACCCGCTGAGTGGCATTAAACGGCTTGAAAGATCAAAGACAATTTTTTATATAACTCAGACTGGATTCGTCTGAAAGAAGAAAGTCATATATGCGATATGCGATGGCGCCGCAGACGGCAGCCTCAGTGTTTGGCTCTCCAGTGTTTGTACTGTTTTTGTTAGTTTTTCCTGTTTTTTGTTTCTCAAACACGATCAGTTTTACCAGGGATGAGCTGCTGAACATTCGCATTTTTGGGTGAACTAACCCTTTAAGTTATATTAAGTTAAGAAATATTTTTAAAAAGGAAAAACCTTTTATATAGAAACCTATATAGAACCTTATTTATAGAAAAAAGTCATTAGCTAGCAACATTGTTATTGCTAACTAAAACTGAAACTATTAAAAGGCATTTTCAGTAATCAAAACAAACTGCTACAATTACTAAAATAAATAAATAAATAAAAAATAAAGTTAAATGGAAATAAATATATATATAAAAATGGCAAAATTACCAAAATTAAAACATTTTTAAAAGTATTTATTATATATTATGTTTATTTATAATTTATTAATATGTATTTATCAATATAACTATAAACAAATAATAAAAATTATAATGGTATATAAACAATACTAAAATAACACTGCTCTCACCCTCTCAGCTTGTTGTCGTGAGATGGCACGATCAGACTCACAGTCCAGTTTGTTACCAACCAATAGGAGCTCAGCATCCTCTGATGCGTACTGCACAGAAGCAAAACAACACATTAGTAAAAAACATTCTCTTAGTGTGGATATATAGATATTAGATATAAAGTAGATAGATAATAGATAAGTAATCAGTGTTTTAGATGTTTGAGCACCTTGTCTATCATCTTCATCCATTTAGGCAGGTCTTCAAAGGTTTCCTGCTTGGTGATGTCGTATACCAGCACGATGCCTTTCGCGCCGCGGTAATACGCTGAAGTGATGCTGTTAAACCTCTCCTGGCCTGCTGTGTCCCTGCAATCAGTCAACATTATTAGACTTGCATGACATTCAGAGTGGGGAATAAATCATATCTTTGACTATAAGAGAAAGACAATGGATTTATCAGTGAAAAGTGTCTCTACAATCACAGACGGCTGGAAGGGAGGGATGGAAAAAGTAAGAGGGGTTTGCGACTTCAGCTGAAACAGAAAGTCAATTTTTTTATCAATTTAATAAAAGATCATTCACAATAAAAACAGGAAGGTGCATTATCGACTTGATCAGATCATTTGCTTTACCAATAATTTCATGAAACATTCTTTCATCAACAATCTTGATTCAAAGGAAAAAGGTTCATTTTGAACATCACGCCACATGATAGACATTCATTTCCTCATTTTTACTGTACCTTATTCACCCTAGTCTGGCTGCATTTTTCCAAAACAGGATATGATGTCACAAAGAGGACCGGTGAGGCATCACATGTCAATGAGCAGTTAAGACGGACAGCCATGGATGCTGGGTAGCTGGATGTGAGTGGACATGTGCTACAGACAAGACATTCAAAAGCAGACATCTGCAGAAGTGTGGTGTGAGAGAAGCCGGCGAGTTTCAGGGTCAAAGGAAATAATGATGATAAAGTGGGTGGAGAGGTGATGGGAGGTTAGTATTAGTTTATGATTGGTTGGACAATGACTGAACCAGACACCACTGGAACAATAAAGTTAGAAATATTAGTTTACAGACTCTACCAAACTGAAGAGAAAAGACCTAGAGCTGTTCATGATTAGCTTAATAATTTAATAGACTATTCTAATCCATTGGTTATTAATCAATTTTGTGATATCACTTGTCTGTAAAAATGAAGAGGACTTAAGATAATCGCAATGAGAAAGAGTAGCATCTGTATTTTCTATAAGCACCACATTATTAGTGAATGGTATGAATAGTAAATTCAACAAATTAAACTTATACTAAACAGCCTAAATGATGAGGTAAAATGTAGATACATTTCTATTTTTAATTTAATTTAATAAATTAATAAATAATATTATATAATAATAATATTATAAAATAATAATTATTATAATTATAAATGATATTTATAAAATATATAAATTATAAATTTAAAATTAAATTATATAATTATAATTTATATATTATAAATAAACAATATTATAAAATAATAATTTAATAAATTAAATTAATTTAAATAATTTAAATAATTCTATTTTTAAATTATTAGGAGTCTGCCACGTCATTTGCAGTATTCATTTTAAAACACAATCAAAAATATCGCAACAGAACAGAATAAATTAAAGTGTATCTGAATAGAACTCCATAGAATAGAACCAAACAGAATAGAACACATCAGGCCCAAATTAAATAAAACAAAACAGAAACAAGTAGAATCTAATAGAATATAACCGAGACAAATCAAATGAATCAGAATAGAATAAAAGCAACAATGGAAGCTTGTTTCCGCCACAAATATCAAAAAGGTAATTGCGACTTTTTATCTCACATTTCTGACATTTTTTCTTGCAATTCTGAGAAAAAAAAAGAAAGAAATGTGCAATTCTGAGAATTAAGGTCCAAATGTATTTATTCACCTTTTATATATATATTTTTGTTATTCCATGGCAGAAACAGAAAAAAAAAAACAGAATTGCGAGATGCAAACTCAGAATTCAGAAGAAAAAACTCATAAAAGTCCAAATTCTGAGTTTATATCCCGCATTTTTTATATCATTTTTTATTTTTTCATCTCATGTCAGAAAAAAACGTTACCAAGAAACAGATCAGAATAGAGTAGAATATAAGAAATAGAATAGTATGCCATAAACCCAGACCACAACAGAACTGTAGAAAATAATCAAATACGAAAGATTATAAATGAATAGAATGGAATAAAAAAAAGGCAGTCGGCATGATTGACAGGAGCAGGTGAAAAAGGATGTACATAGACATACACATCAGTTAGTGTCATGATATTAGTGATTTCACAATTAAAATGCATATATTCACATTCACTGTTGAATTCTGGGATGCTGTGAGCATGCAATCACAAATTAAATGTCACAATATTAGTGACGAGTATACTGTAATGCTTTGATAATTCTTTCTGATGAGTTTACTCAGTGCCACAGCGTTGGTTAAAAGTTGGTTAACTGTAAGCAAACACAGCTGATTAAATCTCAGCAGCAACACATGAAAGGTGTTTGACTGTGAGACTCTGGACTGGAATTTATGACTCGGTGCAGAGCGACTTCATCTCATGTGCTTCTGAGACACAGGAAGTGACATGGTGGGCTGAGTCAATGATAAGGACACAGCACTTCCTCTCCACTCACCAGATCTGTAACCTGATCTTCTTTCCTCTCAGCTCCACCGTTTTGATTTTAAAATCCACACCTTCAACACAAAGACACAAACGAGAAGAAAAAAGATGTAAGATCAGCCATACTGCATCTTCAAGCTTTACGGTGCCTCTAAAATTCATAGCTATCCAACACATCATTGAAAGTATTCATATTTAATGAAACACATATGAATAGAGTATATTTTGTGTCTAAATATTCCCATGCATGTGACAACAACTTGTATGACTTTCACAAGTGTGACAGAGCAGAAACTCGAGATCGGGCATGTTGTAGCAGCAGCTGTGTGAACGTGTGTCTGGCTATTCTGGGATATTGGGTTATGCAGCTAATCTGATGTGAAGGCCTGTCATGAGTGAGTGAAAACCTTGCCGTATCAGTTTTCTCATGTGCGCTGGTCCAGACATCAATACACCATTTATGCATTGCATAAAAATCACTGATTTTGTATCAAAGGGTTTTAAAATTTGAATGTGTGTTTTCTAAACGCGTCGTTCATCACATGACTGATGCAGATTGATTCAGAGCTTGGCAGATCTCTTGTGTAATTAAATTATAGAAGCACGAGAATGAGGGATGAAAACGGTTTAGACCCAGATGCAAACTCACATTCATGTTAACATCAAACTCTTTTAAATCTTTTGAATTGTTTGCATCCGTCTGTGTGATGAAAATACAACGGTGTGATTAGGAAAATGTTCTCTTGATTTACGTGGTCACAGGCCCAGATGTGGTTTTCAGATTGTGGTTTACTAACATCTTGCTGAAACGTTTCTATTGACACTGTCAGGACTAAAACTCAAAGACCAGGGGTGCGTTTCCCAAAAGCAAATATGGTCGCAAGTTGAATCATTACCAAAAGAGTTCACTGGAACTTGTGACCATAGTTAGCTAATGATGCTTTTGGGAAACGCACTCCAGACTGACACCTCTGACCTCTGAGGTGTTGTTGTGTTCTCCTGTTACGGTGGTCATTATATTACTGCAACTGTTTATGTTAGAAGGTAAATACATTTTTTGACTTTGATTTTTTAAAATCTAAATTAAAATATCCTTAACAAAAACATGAGTTCACTAAGCACAGTTTACTAATTATGTATATGAAAATACAAATACAAAAATGAATATATTCATATTATTTATAATTATCTACTATATATACACACAATATTGTGAAATATTATTACAATTCAAAATGTATTTAAATATATTTTGACATTTAAAAACGTTACACCCACATATACATATGTATACACATAGGCCTGTCGCAATAATCAATATATCGACTTATCGCGCAATATATGTACATGACCTCAATCATTTTTGGTGACGCAATATATCGCCCATTATATTTACTTAAATTAATGTCATTTACTAAACATTTTACTTTTACTAAATAACCATTGTCCATTGATTTTTGAATTGACAATAACTATCCATCTAAGTGTCAAGAATTACAAACCATCTAAAGTTTACAAATTAATCACAGTTAACTATCTATGCCTACCAAACTTGAAATAATTATTAATCTACACTAAACTAGTATGTACAGTATGTACAGTTATTTATCTTTAATAGCCATCTATGGTTTACTAAATATCCATTGTTAACTACCTGTGGAATATAAAACTTTTCTAAAACACTAATATCCATCTAATAGCCAACTGCTAACCATCAATAGTCTACAAATGAATCTCAGTCGACTATCTACGCTTTCCAAACTGAGTATAAATTTTCATCTATACTAAACTAGTATGTAACGTTAGTTATCTAATCTTTAATAACCATCTATGGTTTACTAAGTAAACACTGATAATCACTGATACAGTTTATATATATTTTAGTTACATAGCTATTCCATACTAACTAGCTGCGGTTGTTTAATTACATTATTGAGATGATTAATTATCCATACTTAACCATCTATAGTTGTCTTATCACTGTTAACTGTATATGCTGTACTCATTATCTATCTATAGTTTACTATTCATACATTGGATACAATTGCACTTACTTGAGCAGATAAACACAATGATGTGGAATGTATTGTTATAATAACTAAGCAGAAAGAAAACAGATACTAGTAAACAAACAAACTGACAGTTGTTGTTGTTGTTGACCCTCCATACTGACAGCTTCAACTTTGTCTTTCTGTCAGGTTGTCTTACCCACAGTGGACTTGCACGCCTCGCAGAAGGTGTCATCCGTGAATCTCTCCATCAGGCTGGTCTTTCCCACTCCACGGGAGCCGATGATGATCACCTGCAGTTTATAATCAGCGGCTCTCGGCGGCATCTTCCTGCGGCGCTGCGACGCTCCCACAGCGGGCGAGCCACCGCCGGCCCTCCGCTGGACACCGAACCCCGACTCCATCCACCACTAACAGCCGGTAAACATCTGCCACACGGCCAGTCCACTTCAAACACGACCGCGCATCACGGAGGGAAACTTTACTAAACTTTAAAGCGGCTTTTCTGAAGAGTTTGTCAAAGTTTTCAATCTCCTCAGTCAGTCAGTCAGTTGTTGTCCTGCGCTGAGAATACGAGAGCGACCGTGACGTCACCGCCACTTCCGGTTCCGACGCGTTCCAAAGGAAGAGCGGAGCAAAATTCCTTTTAGAATAAACACACTAGGAAGATTATCCATTACAAATATAATATGTCAGATGTCGAAAAGAAATAGCAGACATTTGTCACCTTTTCAATAGATTTTTTCCTGTTTGTTTTTACTTTTTACTAAAAAGCATACAAAAAAATCTTAATTCAATAAGCCTACCTAATATTTTACATTTTTTGTCTAAACTAAATATTTTACACGATAGTGTAAAAAATGTTTCCATTATGGCAGTTAAAACCTTTCTCCATTTTTTTGACAGTAAAAAAATTTCTTTATTAATACAATTTAAATACTGCACATGTAAGATAGGAAAAGATATAGCCTATAGCCTATACACACACACACACACACACACACACACTCTCTCTCTCACACACACACACACACACACACACACACGCACACACTCTCTCTCTCACACATACTCAAGTACTTGATTTGTGTACTTCGTCCACCACTGCTCGAAACACACTGAAAATGTTATCTATATTCTATAATAATTAAAACGGAATAAAAATTACAAATTTTAACTCCGTAAAGAAATAAATTAATAATAATAATAATAATAATAATAAATATATTCTACTTATACTCAAATAAATCTATGAGTATAATAAAACCGAGGCAAGTGTGAATCGCAGATGTTGAATGGTGCATTGCAGCATCCCACTCGGGCTCCCGTAGAAAAACACCGTGACGTGGATGAGCTGTTGAAGCAAATCAGGATAATCTACGTAACAGTCCATCCTCCTCCTCATCCTCATCCTCGGGTCGGTCTGTCCTCTTCATCCGCGAAACCGAGAGCCATGGCCGCGCAGAAGATCAACGAGGCGCACGAGCACATCGCCAACGCCGAGAAATGGTATAAGTTTCACTTATACATAAACATTTGAATAATAAAAATAAGGAACATATTGATAAACACGGTAATATTAACATATTACCTATATTCTAAAATCGCAAATACATTCAATCCGTCAATAAATAAATAAATAAAATAAAACAAACAAATAAGTTCTACTTAGAATATATATAAATAATATAGAAATAAATGAATAATGAAAATATCTATAAACACGTTTAAAATATGCTATCCATATTCTATATAACCAAAAAATAAAAAAAATATATATTCGTAAATAAATAAATACATATGGTCTACTTCACACACACACACATTATAATATAATATAATATAATATAATATAATATAATATAATGAGCACATCGCCAACGCCGAGAAATGGTGAGATATGAAAAATAATCTCCTACAGAACAGAACTCATGCATTCGCACACAAACACCGATTTACGATCGGCCTGCTGTCGCTGTCAGTCACACTGTCACTAATCCTGCTGCGTAACCGGATGCATGTTGCTTTCAACTCATGTATCGGTGCAGTCCTGTCCAAATGATTAAGCGAGATGCCGAAGGATCCTGATGCGCGTTCATTATAATGTTACACAGCGAGACTGATTGCGTAATCGCGCGTGCAGTGATAGAGGTTACCTTGGCGACAGCTGCAGTGGTCCTGATGTGGTCATTATTAGGAGGCTTCTACTGATGATGAAATCCAGTGCATGTTCATGTGCCCATCAGGCAGTAGAGCCCGGGGCAAGTTGTCACAGGCTACACATCTCAGTAAACAGAAGATTTTGTGTCTAAAGTTCAATTACAATTTGTTTTCAAACACCTAGTTCTTATTTTGTGTGCAATTGTGCATTATTATGATATGTTATGTAATATATGACCCTGGACCACAAAACAAGGGTCAATTGTTCGAAATTGAGATTTATACATCATCTGAAAGCGGAATAAATAAGCTTTCCATTGATGTATGGTTTGTTAGGATAGGAGGACAATATTTGGCCGAGATACAACTATTTGAAAATCTGGAATCTGAGGGTGCAAAAAAAGAAAAATATTGAGAAAATCATCTTTAAAGTTGTCCAAATGAAGTCCTTAGCAATGCATATTACTAATCAAAAATTAAGTTTTAATATATTTAGGGTAGGACATTTACAAAATATCTTCATGGAACATGATCTCTACTTAATATTCTAATGATTTTTGGCATAAAATAATTTTGACCCATACAATGTATTTTTGGCTATTGCTACAAATATACCCCAGCGACTTAAGACTGCTTTTGTGCTCCAGGGTCACATATATGTTATATTGTGGAAGAGAAGCACACTTTAGCATACTTTTAAAAAGAGTACTTTAGTGTCAACTGAAAGTAATGTTCCCATATACATTTAGCTGTATGTTATTTACAATTAAATGAAAATGCATTATAGTTTAAATTGATATTAAATGCAACTTAAGAGTGCTGTTTGAACCATTTAAGTAGGACTTAAGTACATCTGTATATGTAATTTAATAATTAATTCTATAGTCTTTAAAATATTTTGAAAGTGTACTGCAGAATCTACTGAGAAGCATTTATGGTAAACTAAATTATATTTTGATGCCATTTCTATTGAAAATTGTATGTTGTGTATTTAAATATACATTTTAATTCCACATCTATAATGATAAAGTTGCAGTTTAGTAGGCTTAAAATCTATTTACTTTAAACATAATATCTAATAACACACTACAGTTCAAATAATTATCAAGTCCTTTACACGTGCTTTAGTATGTTAGTCAACTCAGCAAAATAAGTGTACATCTTTAAAGCATGACAAGAGATTATTTCAATAATTAAAAAATGTACATTAAAATAAAACTTTAAATGTGACATTACTGTCAAATTAATCAATCAGTCAAAGTGCATTTTTAAAAGTGCACATGTTAAGCAATATGAAAGTTTCTCTCTTTTAAGTGGCCTTTTATTTTATTATCATTAAATTACCTGCAAGTATACCATTTTTTAAAATATACTTTTAAGATTCGAAGTACACTATGAGTGCACACTTCTTTTTCGCAAGGGTTGGGATACTAGTGAACACCATACAATATTTGTTTTACTTTATGCAGCTTGAAGACCAGCATGACCAAGTGGAAACCTGATTATGATGAAGCCGCTTCAGAGATGGCGAAAGCAGGTGATGTAAACCTTACGTCTTGCACTGATGTTATTGATGAAGGTCATTATGTAGTGAAACAGGACCATAACATAATGTCTGTTGGTGTTATATCAGCTGTGGCTTTCAAAAACGCCAAACAGTTTGAACAAGCGAAGGATGCGTACCTGAAGGAGGCCGAGTACCACACAGAAAACAAAGCGTATCCTTCTCCTGCACATCAGACTCCGGTTACTAGACAGAAGAAGAAAAAGTTAATTTAACAAACAAAACTAATTAATGTGCAGAAGAGCCATACACCACAGAGATTTACAGTATCTGATTTTATTTTTATGCTGATAAAATGATACGGCACTGTATGATTTATTCACCTTAATGTCAACTCTTGTAAATATTGGCTAAAATTTATAGGGAGAATGTTCAAGTTCAATTCAAGTTTATTTGTACAGTGCTTTTCACGATACAAATCATTGCAAAGCAACTTTACAGCAAATTAAGTTTCTACAATATTTAGTAGTAGCTTATCAGTGGTGACTGTCAGTTAATGTACATTTGGCAGAAATGTACGGAAAAATCAATTAAAGACATAATCAAACAGACGATGAACACTATTAACAGCAATTATTATATGATGCAATCAAACTTATAGCAAAATGTGGTAGTTCTGTATGTTGTTTCGTACAGAATGTGCCATATATATGCACAATACTGTCAAAAGTTTGGGGTCAGTAAGATTGATTATTGGAAAGAAATGATTACTTTTATTCAGCAAGGGTCCATTAAATTGATCAAAAGTAGCAGTAAAGAAAATTATAGATTTATTTTTCAAATAAATGCTGTTCTTTTGAACTTTGTTCATCGAAGAATCCTGAGAAGAAGAAAAATCACCTTTTGCACAAAAATATGAAGCAGCACAACACTGATAATAATCAGAAATGTTTCTTGAGCAGTAAAGCAGCATATTAGAATGATTTCTGAAGGATCATGTGACACTGAAGCCTGGAGTAATGATGCATTAAATCCAGCTTTGCATCACAGGAATAAATTACAATTCACTATATATTACAGTAGAAACAGTTATTTTAAATTGTAACAATATTCCACAATATTACTGTTTACTGTATTTGATCCAATAAATGCAGCCTTGGTGAGCAGAAGAGGCTTCTTTTTCAAACATTAAAAAATCCTGCCGACCCCAAACTTTTGGTTTTTGGTTTAGTCTCTCATTCGATACTCATATTTACTTAACTAAAATTCTCAGACTCTTCCATGCAGCAAAGTAAGTGACCATTCATGTTTCAAATAACTATTAGGCTACTCATTAACTCTAATCTATACATTTACTAAACTAATCTATAGTTGACCAATTTCCTTAATTATAGTTAAAACATATTACTGTAGTTAATTGAACTGTAGTTTTTTTTACTTCTACATCTGTACAATGTAACCCACGATAAAACATGCGTTTCCTCTTCTCAGAGCGTATGAACAGGCTGGCATGATGCTGAAGGTGAGTTGGTCATGCAGTGATTGTTATGGATGGCCTGTAGGTTTGAGACGTGTGTGTGTGTGAGTGACTCTTCTACACCTGCAGGACATGAAGAAAATGCCTGAGGCCATTCAGCTGATCGAGAAGGCCAGCATCATGTACGTGGAGAACGGGACATCTGGCACCGCTGGAATAGCCTTGGACAGAGCTGGGAAGTGAGTAAACGGATCGAAACTCTTTTCGAGAGGTTGTTTGTGTAGTTTCTTATGCGTAAACTAACTGTAATATGCATGCAAAGGTTGCGTTCCCATTACCGGTGTTAACTAGTGCCATCCACTTCTTCAGACTCATCGAGCCGATTGATCTGCAGAAAGCCGTGGACTTGTATCAGAAGGCCGCATCTGTGTTTGAGGTGAGGAAATGCATACGTGAAATGATCAAAAATCGTCCATTTGTCCATACATAACCCATGTGAACTGTTTTTTTTTTGTTGTGTTCAGAATGAAGATCGTCTCAGACAGGCCGCAGAGCTTCTGGGAAAATCCTCCAGACTTCTGGTGAGACTGCGCAGGTGCGTCTTCAAGCATTAAACTGCCCACATTGTGATGATTTATTAAATGATGATTTAACATGATTTAATGTTCAAAAAACACATTATTTTTCTCATACTGTATATTGCTGGAGCAGCTCTTTTCACCCTCTGCCTGAAATGCTTCTGTCTCTTTAAAGCCCCGCCTTCCAAAAAGTCTTCTCTGATTGGTCAGCCGACCCCGTCTGTTGTTGACTGGTCAGCCAATTAGATTGTGTGTGTCGGAAATGTACCGCTCTTTACCATAATTGGCTTTCCAACAGTCCTTGTGGGCGGGTCAAAGCAGCAGTAGGCGTGCATTATGCAAATATGCAACATGGAATCATAGCTAAATCACAGAAATAATGGCAGGACAACCAATAAGGCATTTCAGGCAAGATTTTCTGTCTGAGAGATCAACTCTTTGATTTTGACGTTGTGCTTGTAACTTTGCATATTGTTTACATGCACAAACAGCTATATTACACACTAAAGGAAAAGTACAATGAAAAAAAAAAAACATAATAGGTGCCCTTTAAGCATTAACAGTCCATGTCATGTATAATAACACCTTTACTGTGGTAAAATCAATGTGATGCATGATCCTAAGTGTTCAATAAGTCGCATAGTTGCATATATTATAGTATATTACTCACCTTTATTACTTCACTAGCTCTCCTGACTTCACAACAGTGTTGTTAACTAAAACTACAAATATCAAAAAAACATTTATTCATTGAAATTAAATAAATGATAACAGAAATCAGATTAAATTTAAAAAACTTAAAAGGTACAAAAGTGTAACTTTTGAAAAGGTACCGCCCCAGTGACAGCTTTTGTACCTTTTTTTCTGAGAGTGCACAATAGAATTACTAAAACTAACAATGAAAATGGAAAATATAGAAATAAAAAATATGAATAAATACTTTAATAATATGCTGTAGTAATATAGTACAAAAATAACACTGCTTCACAATATAAATCTTCATAACAAAAAAAATTAATTAAAGCTATATGAATTCAGCACTATATTACAAGTCTTTTTTACAAAAAGAAAAAAAAAAGTTAATTGAAATAAAATAAACCTTAACGTAAAATAAATAAAATATAAAAAAAGAATTAGTTTTATTTAGTTGCCAAGGCAAGTACTTTAGTTGAAGTACTAAATTACTAAATTGAAATAAAAATGAATTTAAAGTAAACAGACAAAATAAGACCTAACAGAATTACTAAAACTTCTTTTAGTACTGAAATTGAAATAAAACTGGAAAATGTAAAAATAAAAACGAATTATTATTTGCTTAGTTTATTTCTGTTTGTTGCCACATCATTTCAAATGTTTTGTTTGATTTACGTTGAAGTAGACAAAATAAATCTGAAATAAAAATAAAAACAAAATTGTAATAAAAATGGGGGAAAAAGCCATAAAATGTACTAAAACTTTAACATAAATTCAAATAAAAAAACTGAAAATATATATAAAAAAATAACCTCATTCAAAATATGAATAAATTCTATCATAGTAATGATTAGTAATATGATTATAGTAATATGCTTTCTTGTGCTCAGGCTGGACGAGGCCGCTGTGTCCCTTCAGAAAGAGAAGAACATGTACAAGGAAATTGAGAACTACCCCACCTGCTTTAAGGTGCAAATACTGATATTCAACTGGATTTTTAAATTATTTCTTTCCCATGTAGTTTTTGAAATAAACGTAGAATTTTGCATTCTAATGTTGCATTAGTTTGAACAGATGTTTGATATTGCAGAAAACCATTGCTCAAGTGCTGGTTCATCTCCACAGAGGAGACTTTGTGGCTGCAGACAAGTGTGTCAGAGAAAGTTACAGGTACGAACGAGTAACACCATCATCCTTCAGATCGCCAGTGTGATCTCTGATCAGTGTCAAATACTGGGCTGTTCAGTCTCCCAGGGTTCAGTGGGAGCGAGGACTGTGTTTCCATGGAGACGCTACTGGCGGCGTATGACGAGCAGGACGAGGACCAGGTGTCACGCGTCTGCAACTCACCTTTACTGAAGTACATGGACAACGACGTGAGTGTCAGTCCTCGCACGCAATACTGTGAAAAATCAAACCAAACATCATTACGCTCACTAAAGCAGTCATTTAGCTCAGTATCAGGTAAAAAAAATTATATTAAATTATATTTCAAAATATATTAAATTAAATTATATTAAATATTTGCTACTTAAATTATATTAAAGTAAAATAAAAATATAATTAATGTAACAATAACAATAATTAATGTATAATTCATATATATAT